TCGGCCGAGTTCACTCAATTTTCGTCACTTAACCACAACGAAGCAAACTTTATTCGAAGAATAGTTTTATACCACCAGAACTTTAGTACTGACTGTCTTCTTCAAAAAGGATCACACAGCCGGCTTCTTAGGTACACTCAGCTACCATAAAAAATATTTAACTTCTTCTACAATAAACGGACACGCCTAACATTATTGATTATTATTAAAATTAGTTATTATTTACAGTTGTTACATGTAAATTTAAAGTTTTTTGATTTCGCCTTTTGAAATGAAATTTTATAACAATAACAGTGATACCACTGGTTGCAGCTGCAACAAAGACCCAATTAGACTCATCAGGATGTGAACATTGCTTTAGGGAACAATCAGACTTGACTATTATTGTAGTATAATTAGACTATGTCAAGATGTTATCCTTTACCTTTAGATTTAACACTCCTTTCGGTAGCATAAGTAGTAGGAGGGACTGCATCTGTATTATTGAATAATAAATCGTCATAAATTATTAATTAAAAATAAATACCTTTAGCAATACCATTATTCACTGTACATTGTCCAACTCTTTCCATTTCTGTAATTATCAATAATAATAAAGATAATAATAATGATTAAAATTTTACTACGTTTAGTTCTGACACTCCTTCTTGTATCAACTCTATGTGTACCTAAGCATAAACTATAAAATTAATAGCAAAATAAATTATTGTATACTTTGAACACTCTTCTTTGCAGTAGGATAATCAGCTGATTTTATATTAAAAATAATAAAATAAAATAAAAGAATTATGTGACACCTTTAGCACTTTTCTTAGCAGTAGTTGCATTAGCAGGACTTACAGTTGTTTCTATATTACATCAACATTTATAAAAAGCTAGTATATTAATACCTTTAGTTCTAACACTTCCCTTACTCCCCTTAGCAGTACGTATAACTCTCTCTGTTTCTACATAAGTCAATAATAACAATTAAAAACCTGTAACACTTGTGTAGGCAGGCACAATTGTCTTTGTTCAAAAATTGCATAATAGTACCTTTAATTCTATTGCTCTCTTTGGCTGCAGTAC